CTTCAGGCGGCCCCTACGGTTCCCTTGAACCAAGCGCCCCGCCAGTGCCGAGTGCAGAAGAAGAATTGGCTGCGGCCAAGACAATTGCCACCCTGTATAACTGTCGTAGTAATTACACCCTCATTAATGCTGGCTCGCGACCGCTCTTTGAGGAGTACCTGGAGATGCGTGAGTTGCATTCGATTGACTGCATGTTGTCTGTGTTAAACACTGAATTTTCGTCATTCGCATAAGTGCGCGCTTATACTCGTTTTTTCCAATACTGGTTGCTTATAAGATTTAAGTAGATCGTCATGTTGTGTTACCTTCATAGTGGACGTTGATGGCAAGTCGACGCATTTTGGCAAGTGATATGTCGAACATCTGACAATCAAACCACTTTTCAAGTATTGAAAAATAGGAAACAAAGTATAAAAGAACACGCACGTGAACCGTTTTCATTCACCAGTCGAGGACTCATAAGTTTCTGGAAGGTGACATGATAATTCGTTCGCCCAATCTGGAAAACACGCATCAGAAGAAATTTTGCTTTGAAGAAAAAGATGTTCTTTAATCAGTGAGTTTTCAATTCTGGTTCCCCAGCTCGTCTTCGAACTAACAAGAAATCTGCAAATGTGCGGAAAAAATCAATAGTTATATGGTGTGAGACTTGATTGGCAGTTGTGAACTCAGTCAGTCTGTGTTGTGCGGTCTTCGTCTCTTCCACCGTTCTTTGTGGTGTCGTTGATTGAATATTTCTTTTTAATCCGAAGAAGAGCTGGGGAACCAGACTTGAAAATTCACTGATTAAAGTTACCTTTGTAAACCAAAGAATATCTTTTTCTTCAAAAAATAATTTGTGTTGCATCAGTAAGACGTGGAGACTCACTGAAGAATACTGTTTCTTCAAAGTACAATTACGCCAGTGCTTTGCTACGAGTTGAATAAGTAGAGCCTTCTGGCCAACAAAACAATGGGATTTTGTCCCAATTTTTCATTTCTATTTAAACAGAGCCTTACTGGTTTTAACTGCTCTAAAGAATATCAGTCAACTGGTATGTTTGGAATAAACGACAGAAGCACTTTAAAACTCAATTGAAGTGGTGCAGGCAGGCATAAAAATTAGTTGCGTTGCAAAGAGTTTTACAGGTTCATTTAGTATGCAGATTGCATAAAACTAATAAATAAACATAAATGTGTAAAAAACTGCGTCATTTGCGAACTAATAGCGAACAACAGGTTTACCCAATCTACAGTATCAAATAGTCAGCAGAATCAAACTTTGTGTAAATAAAAAAATATCTACTGAAATGAAGAAAGTAGTGTGTTTATAATTACCGCTCTCGGCCGTTTGATAGGGTGTTGGGAGCGGCACAGTACTTATTCAAGCCGACAGTCATTTCTTCAGAGATTCTTTTTTGGTGCCCTTTCAAAAAGATATGGTAACAAGTTCAGGAGCCCTTTATTATTACCTACCTTCCCCCTGCGATAGAAGCAGGGCCCATTGAACTGCGACCTCTCCTTTCTCTATCTAATGAGTTGGTTTTTTTAAAACTTTTCAGTCATTCAATATGGTTTCATCACCATGTTCGTGCCGGCCTTCCCCGTGGCCCCACTGTTTGCCCTATTGAACAACATGTTCGAAATACGCACCGATGCCTCCAAGTTCTTGCGTGTCCTTCGCAGACCCGTCATCAAGCGTGAAAAGACAATTGGTCAGTCAGTTTTCCCTTATTGTTGACATTGCCCCGCTGATGTCTTGTGATAGTTATATTTTCATACACATTATCACGACCCTGCGTCTGATATAGGGCAGTGAATTCCGGACTCCCAGACTACCTCCGAGTTTTCTCACAAACTAACTTCTGCTTGTCATCACACTAAAAATCGTAGCCCTGAGGGCCAACCTCCACACTGAAGGTCAGACTTCTGATCAAAAGTTCGCGGGTTCAAGCCTTGGGATGTGGCACCACTCGGAGTTGAGTTTTACTGTCTGATGACGGCTTATTAGCCAGAAATTGTCATTT